TTCTTGTAATGCAACAATCGCCGTATTGTGATAAGTATCAGATGATAAGAGAGACTGCAGATGCATAATTTTGTTGGGAAGTGAACGGCAGTTTGAAGTGACAATAACAGGAATGGTTGTACGATATAAAGGTGTCTGTTTAAGTGCACGCTGCCAGCCAGCGTGATGTTTTCTCTTAGATTTATTAGATGCATTATTAGTTGCATGAAAGTCATATGGTTTAAAACGTTTAATGAATGAATTACTGTATTTTATGCGATTTGCGATCATATTTTATTAAAATTAGGAATGAAAACATGACTTATTAGATGCAATATGTAGATGCAGAAAAAAAGGTAGCCCAGATGTCAAACAGGCCGCCTTCGCCGAAGAAAAAGAAGGATGCGCCACACAATAATAATAAAACGACATAGATCAAAAGAAAAAAGGAAGGAAAAGAAAAAATATATAATAGAGAACGGATAAAGAATTTCATCTGGAAGGAAGACAGTCATGCTTAACAAGTTCAAACAGTGTTCGTTAACTATCATCGGGAAGGGAAGAAAGAAGGAAATTGCAACACACTTGCCATTGATTAAGATTCTTGGCCATATCCGATAACGTTTTGAGTCATCGATTTGAGCTATCTCTCGGACCCCAACTAGGGAGTCGTGATACACCAAACGATGCTAATCTGGCACAAAAATCCTTCATCCCACGACGCCACGTCATAGACTGACCACCTCTCCGCCTTTTCCATCCCGTCCCAGGGCTAGCGAACAGAGACCTGTACGGAAGCCTCTGGGATGACATTCGTAGCAAATGTCCAAGCCACCGGAGCCAGTGTGTCCAGATGATAACACTCAACGAATGGTGATCTCCACTGTGTTCAAACACACGCCGCCTAACCTCAGAATTACGCACGCGATGATGCCATCGAACGCAAGCAATCCTGCGGAGACAGCGATGATCGAACACGCAGAGTCGCTGCACATCCTCAGTTCGGAGAGGTCATTTAACATAAATCGTCCGCAAAGTACGCCTATCTTCTAAAGCCTTCCTGTTAGTCCAACATACTTCTGTCTTCTCGCTCTACACGGTCTGCTGCATGACCCAGTTGGACTACATTCAGGAATATTATAAGTGATAGTAGTAGGCAGTTTTGTCTTACGCTTGACCTTCAATAAAAGGCATCGGATATATTTATATAAAATTGTATAGATTTCGTGGAAAATTTCTATCATCAGTTCATTTCGTAGTCTGAAACAGTTTAGTTTGTACAACATCGGTAGTGAATGTTTTTAGAATGGATAAAACTGTTGTTTTCTTCTGGTAACAGAAGATAATGAAATTATTTTTTCTATTGTAGTGATAAATAATTTAAAAGGTATTCTGTTTTAATACTGGTCAACAACTGGATACCCTATACCTCATTTTTTTTCAAAGCCTATTTTACTTTAATTTATATTGATTCATTCACATGAAGTATTTGCAGATTTTCTGCTGTGATAAAGTGGACTATTTATCTAAGATTGTCCTTAAAAGTTTATTCTACTGTCTGTTCTGTATTTGAAAGTAGAACAGCATTCACTCCGTTCAAATTTATACTTCTGTATACCTCACTAAAGATTGTTTTGTAATGGCTACAGTTTTAATCGAATCTGTTTAATTGTAAACTCCTCTTGAAATACTTGAAACAGAAAATGCATTAGTATTGCTTGACCAGAATGCTTGACATCATTCATAAAATGGCCTGTTTGAGATAGTTTACAGAGTTGTCAGTGTACGATCTCGCATAAACAACCTTGTACAATTGGGGATAAGTAGACTTCGAAATACTCTCAGTTGGCCACACTTTCATAGCCTCTGCCAGGTAAAGCCTATTCACTGCCTTTGCACAGCAGAAAGAATCCTAACAAAAGTGATAGGGTGAATGCAAGCGTCTGGCGTGTACAGTTAGACTGGCCGACATGCTAGCCTACTCAGGGAAGATAAAGATCCCTGATTCCAAACTTATGATGTACATGGACCCCACAATCCGAAACGATCGAATGGCTTGTTTTGGTCACCGGAAACCATGAGGATGTGGCTCCTAACGTTGCTTCACTGCTTTGTGGATCGAAATTCAAGTCAAACCCTTGGAGAGTGGCTCCCTAAGACAACCACTTGCTTCAGTCTAGGTGAGATTTTGTGTGGCTCGTCTTTTGGTGCCTATAATGTATCAAGTTTGTAATTTAATAACAAATATTCCCATACGCACACATTACTGTCGGCTATAGTCCGCTGCAGGATAAATGGAGACCTTTCCTAAGCGACATTTCAGTCGATGAGGCTATGTGTAGCCTTATCGGTCGAGCTGAAGGATAAATTACTTTCTTTGTTGAGCAATATTTGACAGGATCAAGTTGGAAAAGAGTTACGGGTGATCAAACCATAGCATTATGTCAATCCATGTGAAGTCTTCGACTGTTAGATTCTGCCATGTAAAGAGATGTAGGTTGCCTGGTTAAAGTCTTCAATATGCTTAGAACCAGTAACTAAATACTGTTGGTGATTCCATTATGGGTAGAATTCATTTTGACAATGTCTCACAGTGTTATACAGTCATATTTACTAATGACGACGTTTCGAGGACAATTTATTACTGCTCACAATCATATCAAGGCACTCACACAACTTTCTAACATCGTTTATATAATTCCATTATTTTCCATCGCTTGATTTGATTGTCAGTAGTATTTTCCATATTTCGGTTATGAGTGATGAGTCATTCCTATTGTATTTGTTGGGTGTAGACTCGATGAACAAGGATTCAATAATCAGCCTCTCTCTCTCTCCACCTACATAGATTAATTTTGGAATTTTAACCCTCTCCCATCCTATTGTGTGGTTGTGTGTTAATGCATGCATTGCAATTGCTGAGCTTTTTTCTGAATTACTTATCTTCTCGGTGTCAACCATTGCTACCTTAGCTAAATTCTTGTTCCGACAATCTGAATACTTCCGGCCTACTAGTTTGTCCTATGTAGTTAACCTAACTCACAGTTATTGAAAGGTATTTTGTAAAATATATTATTTTGTCTAATTGGATCAACTGGGTCCTTCAATTTACAGAGCTTGCCTCTGAGTGAGTTTGTAGGTTTAAATGCCACCCTAATTCCTGCTTTATTTAGAATCCTGCGTAGGGCGCTCAGATGTCCCCTGTTTTTATGGTATAACAGTAGATGTCTTATATTCTCTCTTATTTATGTTATCATTACTAGTTCCACAATTATTTTTTAATTTGCTTTTGGCCTTTTTCGATCTACCCAATGAATTTTTAGGATAGTTATTTAACACCAAAGCCTCTTCTATCTGTTTTATTTCATCATATAGGTTTTTTTTCTGCTACTTAGTGCTACTGCTCAGTTTGTTAAACACTTAACTAAGCCTGCCTTAGCAGTTAACGGATGAGATGAATTAAAGTCTAAGTATCTATTAGAATGAGTTGGTTTTCTGTACACACTAGTGTGCAGTTTACCTTCTTCTATTCGTTTGATTTTACAATCTAACACCAGATATCTATGGTCGGCCTGCGAAATTTGGGCTACCGATATCCACGCTGAAAATTCCATACTTGTACCAAAAATACAGTGTGGAATCAAGCTGTTACCAATAATAACAATAATAATAATTCTTCTTGTTCATTTTCTGATTCAAATGTGAATTTTATTTCCTGTGCTGGGGAGTTTATGTGTGTTAAGAAGCTAGAGATATGTTCTGATTTTAACACTGTGAGAGTGTCATCCACATATCTCCACCATATTTTTGGGGTAGGACTGTTGGTGATTTGGCTGAAAATCATTCTCAATGGTTCAAATGCATCCACACTCTTTGTAATCTTCTAGGTCCAATAAATTTCCATTATTCTCGTGTATATTTCCCTTCATTAAAATTTTCTCTCTGCCTTGTGAATTATATGGATTGCAGCAAGTGTTGAACTGCTAAGTTACTGTGCAGATTTCAACGTTGGAAATTTGTTCATTCATTTTCTCACATATAGACTAGTTTCGATATAATTATTCATTTTGTTCCTATATTCTTGGAAGACATGAAAAGACTAGCTGTCTTTGATCATAGGTGCCTGCGCTCTATTTCCCGTGTAAAGTGGCATAATAAGGTGAGCAACATGGAGGTTAGGCGTAGAGTTCTAAGTAAACAGGGGAAATCAATCGACGAAGTCGTGAAGCTACAAAGACTGAGATGGTTAGGACATGTGTTACGTATGCCAAGTCATCGCCTCCCTCGACGAGCAATGTTAGCGGATATAGGGTCAGGCTGGAAAAAAGCTAGCGGAGGTCAAACAAAAACTTGGCATCAGTCAATGAAATCCACAACAGTTGGTCTTAGCCACGTAGAAAGGTGTAGACTTCCAGGCTGGGGTCCTCGGGATGGTAAAAATCTATGGTTGGAAACAATTGGTGACATGGCTCAAAATCGTTCTCAGTGGCTGGTGCAGATGCATCCACTCCTTGTGACTTATGATCTCCAATGAAACTGTTTTGTTTTTCTTTATTACTCCTCCTTTGTCTCACACCTCTGCTCACTGTTTCTATTATGCTTTTCTTGTACTTTCTTCTCTTGCTTCGCGTGCTACACGGAGTGTGGCGACTTGAACTTCCGCACATTTGTGCAAAGTTCTATGTCGAAAACAGACAGACAGACATATTCCTGGAGCATAGGGTTTCAAGCTAGAACTTTGAAGTTTCTGTAGCAACGGAGTTTATTTTTACTTGGTGGGACTTCTGGCTTCACATCCAACCTTCCCTTTTTACTGGTTTTATTACCAACTTAACGAGGTTTGGGAGTGCGCGTCGGCCGGGTATTGAATTCCGGACCACATAAGGCCTGGTTGGCGATAGTATAATAGTATTTTGCAGGGAAAATTATATTTCATTTAATAATTATAAGCTTGAAATTCAGTCAATTATATGTAAAAGTCTAATATAATATAAATTTTCTACTTGTCTATTTAAACACAGGTAGATGAAGATATTGCTAAAATTGGTATATGGGATAGTGAAGTTACTTCACATGGACAAAATATGCAGTCACCATCAATTGCCGATGAATCATTAATTGCTCGTTTGGATATGGCAGATTATAAGTTTACCTTTCATGAAAAAGCTCGAGAATACAATCCAGCTTGGATGTCTCCTGAGTGTATGTTTATATTTATATGCATACCATAATACTGCATTTCTCAGAACTGCAGACGGAGATTTTTGTTGATATTTGGAAGCATTTTTTGATGACTTTTTGAATGACTTATTTATTATGTTTGTTTATTGTACGCGCTAATGATCTAGTACACTTAATGATGATATAGTGTACTGACTCATAAATGTTTCACACTCTGACATACTGGCCTATTCGCTGTGCTTTAGATAGAATATAATTCTAAGTTTACAACATTATAGTTAGTTAGATGATTGAACGGAAAGGCCATGAAGTTTTGTGTTGAAGTCCTTCCTCATAGGTGAGTTGTCTTTCTAGCTGGCTTTAAAGAAACTACTAATTTGTTATTGTTGTTTCTAGCTGATCTGAATTCAAAATAAGCAGCAATTTGTATTCTGGATTCTACAGCTTTCTGTCATCAAACAAATCATATTAAAGCATATCGTGTGTAAACGTTTTTAAGCAAATCGAAACATACACACACATACACACAATAGACTGTTAGCCTGAAAGATTTGTGTCTCCAGACACATTTTAAGAAGTCTGAAGTTTGATAATTGACTGATATCAGTTAGAGAACAGATGAAAACCAGAAAGGATTACTGAACACCTAGTTTGAGACACTTTAGCTGTACTCACCCATTACCCCAGTTGGGGATTCAACCTAAAACCTTCAGGTTCCGATGCCAAGTTCATTGACCATTCAGCCACTTGAACCGAAATCTTATGGGTCATAAATGCTAATTTCTGTCGATTCGCGATTTTAACGCCGCCCACACGGTAGGCCTCACTGGCCACGACTTCTCGTTAAGACTCCAGGCAACTTCTTCCTATTACCAGTTACTACTAGTGAGCATCAGATTAATTTTCAAGATTTATTTTGTAGACATTTGATTTGTTTTTTTTAAGTTTGATCACGGATTGATGTCAGTTGGAGAATTATTGAAAACCAAGGCGTACTGGACTACAAAGTAACTCTTAAAAATTGTTGTAATTGCTTAACTTTTAATAACCAAATTAGTAAGCTTTCATTTGTAATTATGGTCATAATACTTATAATTAAACGCTTATAATATTCATCTAACATTCTTTTGTATTTACACTATAGCATTGCAAAAAAAGGCTAGCGAAATAAATCTTGAAGCTTCTGATATGTGGAGTTTTGGAATTATACTGTGGGAGTTAGCAACTCGATTAATACCATTCGATGGAATGAATCCTATGGTTATAGGAATGAAGGTAATTTTCAATCACTTTTCATGTACTGTGATTAAAATATGTCATAATAATGGATTATAAAATTTTTCTATAGTTGTATAAATTGACCAGTTTATGATATACTGTATGTATTAATGATGAGAATGTGATTTAATGACTATATCATTTAATTTCAAAATATTTGATTGAGATCTCAAAAACTTGTTTTGGTGAATAACTAGTGAATTGATTTAGTAGTTCATACAAAGCCAACGTTGTTGTTCAACCTATCACATTTCAAAGCAGAAGTGAAATGAATTTAGAAATGGAGTCATGAGTATAACAGTAGGTGGAGAGATTCCATAAGTTACATATTTTAGACTTATTTAATCTCGAAATTTTAGATTTGTTGATTCTCAAGGGTTCGATTAGTTTCAAATTAAATCATCAACTGACATTAGGAAGGATGCCAATAAAAGCCAGGCTGTAATGAACAGCTGTTCAGTCCTCTTAGGTTATATGCGTCATTTGATATTCTAGATATTGTGATTCAGTCGCCAAAAAAAGCCATTCTTAAGCTTCATGCCTGTATGTACTCAACAGTAGGAGGCATTGAAAAATTTATATCCTTTTCGAGGTTCAAACTTGCATCACGTATTTCCAGATTCAAAAAAAATGGTAACAGTGATATATTCAGAACAACGAGAGATCTTCTGTAGAACCGTATCGCATATATGAGGATTGGCAACTCGTGTAATAGAATATCAAATATTTGATAGCAGGTATGCTTATCATTTAGCTGAGTGTTCACCTGGCAGATTAGACAATCATGTTTCGATTAACAAACTTCATACTACATTTGAGTTCTATCCATATCTCAGTTCACAATCAGGCAGTATGTCTCACTTATCTTTTAGTAGAAAGTCGTTCATTTGGGACCTTCAGTTATTGAAAAATAAACAAGCACTAATAACAGTGATATGCTACAGTGTTATTTCTCTTCACCGCCATTACTTTACTTTACTTCGGCTATCTCCTACGGGAGGATGAGCCGGCTTCATGAACATCTCGAATCATCGCTGCCCAGGCGCGCCGATCTGATGCAAGGTTTTGCGACAGGGTTATCCAATTCTTGTTCCACAAACGGAGTCCGTAGACGGTTTGTAGCCCCAGGGACTCCATATCAGCCTTGACTGTACCAAGCCATGTTTTCAGCTGTCCCACCCCTGCGACATCGCCAAGATGGAAATGGCGAGGGATTTAGAACTGATTTGACCAGATCGTCATCTGGTCGGCGCAGAACATGGCCAAACCACCGAAGGCGACGTTGTTGGACCAGTACTGGAATTTGGTTGATGTTGTAGAGAGTTCATGAAGTTTCATGGGAATTAGGTACGAGTAGTGTCCCCAACATCGCTCAGCCTTTTGTTAGAGAGTGCAGCTCTAGCCTTAACACAACCAAGTGTGACCTACAAGGCAGTAGGAGTGGAGTAGGGAGTCCACTATCCATTGGCAACCGGTGACCGGAGTCCGGTTCATACGCCTTTTTGAATGGGGCCAGACATCCAGGGCATCCAATAAGCCCTTTGTCCATACGTCTGCCGGTGAGCTTCATACTCCAGTCGTTGGAAGTTTGGAATCAAGGTTTTACCATCTCCCCTAGACTGTCATCCAATGGACAGTCAACCCGGTGAAGAGCGCCGGGCATCCGCTTTTGCCCTCTCACTTCGGTGAAAAACACCTCCGCCACGTGAAGGCAGTGAGTAGGAGTTCCTCAGGAGAGGCTATGTAAGACGCCCGGCCATATGGGAGCATTTCAAGAGGTGTACGGAGGGGTGGCCGACCCGCAGCGCAAGGCACCCACCCCCGACCATCCTGAGGCTTTGGAGGCCATTGTACATTCACTGCATGAATATATGGGTGAGTTGTCTTCCGAAGTGGTGACAACTAGTGGTGTCCGACAGGGATACACACTATTCTCATTTCTATTCAATTTCATCATAGATGTATTAATTGACTTGACCCTAAGTGACTTCAGCGACTCAGGGATTGACTTGTTGCCGAGGTATAATCTCATTGACTTATAATATGCAAATAATATAGTCCTTTTAGTTGAATATGCTTACAAAATGCAGAGTCTTTCGAACATCTTGAGCAGCAATTTTCAAACGTTTGGCATGAGATTCGCTCCCGAAAAAAAAAGTAAGATGATACTACATGATTGGACTACGTTGACTCCTAGTTTGAAGATAGCAGTGAAGTGGTAGAGCGTGTTGACCACTTCACTTATTTGGGAGGTTGCATCAGCCAACTCAAGCGAGTTAATCGCTGAAAAAATCTCATTATGGATACAGAAGGCTCATGTAGCACACGCCAACATCTGCCATCTCTGACGTAGATGTGATATCCGGCTGGCTGTCGACCAAAAGGCGTGTGTACTGCTCAGTGGTTTGCTTTGTCATCCTTTATGGCTGTGAGACATGACCATTGAAAGTGGAAGACATGAAAAGGTCGGCTAGTTGTCTTTGATTATAGGTACCTGTGTTCTATTTCCCGTGTTAGGTGATATAATAAGGTGAGCAATATTGAGGCTAGGCGATGGTACGGCGGGGTGAGTCAATCGACAAGGTTGTGACGTTACACCAAATTGGATGGTTAGGACATGTGTTACACATGCATCCCTAGCCATCGCCTTCCTCAACAACGGGCAATCTTAGCTGACACAGGGTGGTGGATCAGGTTGGAAAAGAGTGAGCTAGTGGTGGTCAAACCAAAACATGGCTTCATCGACCAATGAAGTTCACAAATAGTTCGTTTAAGCCAGTCAAGTAGGGAGGTGTAGACTTCCTTCCTGGTTTGGGGTCCTCGGGACGGTAGGAACCAATGGGTGATATGGCTGAAAAAAATCGTTCTCAATAGCGCAGATGCATTCCCCCCCTTGAATTATCATTATCCAATGTAACTCTAGTGTTCTTCTATATTACTATTCTATTTCCCTCAAACATTATCTCTCTTTTGCAACTATCTTCTCTTGGTTTGTGTGCTACATGAAGTGTGGCGACCCTAACTGCTGCACGTGTATGCAAAGTTGTATGTTGAAACCGGTCAGTCAGTTAGTCAGCACGAATATATATATTAACTTGTATATGGGAATTGTTTAGTAATGTATATGTATTTTGACCTATTCAAGCGTTGAATTTCAAGCATAGTAACTATAAGTCACTGTCTTCTCTCTCTCTCTCACTTTCTCTCTAGTTCTCTTCATATTTTTTATATTCAGCTTTTAATGTAACCAGGTCAAGTCGTCTAATGTGTGTGTGAACTGTTTACAATAACCAGTATAATAACTACAATGAATAGAAAGTGCTATGCGTGATAGCCTCTTCATTTTTAATATACAATTATTTGTTTAGATATCTAATTTTTTTTTGTACATTAAATCAATCCATTCTCTATCATCATCGACAATGGTAGTGGTACCAAAAGCACAATTACACACTGTAGATTAAATTATTCTGTTTAGATTTTATTGAACTAATATGTGAAACTACTTCGGAGGTCTTCTTATACTCTCTTGTTCATTCGTTTGAGTGCTGATTGTTTAATTGACCTGTTTATTATTATTTTGTGTTTTGACCTTTTTTTCAATATCACTTCTTTTTATAATTGCTTGATAAATTTAATCTGGTTAATTCATGGATTGTTATTCGTCTGAGAAGCGTTGGAAACAAGGAAGAGAGGAATAAACAGTTGTTTCGTCCTAGTTCGACACCCTTGACCGCGTGAAGAATTGATCTAATATGAATCCGTTATCTTACTTGAAACCATTCGAATCCCCTTGTAAAGCAACACTTGAAAATCTGACATTATCGTACAGAAGAAATTGTGCACAAGTATTATTCAAAAGTGCTAGGACACTGTAGCATTCCTGTGTTGTGAGGAGGATAGAGAAGAAATAATCGGAAGAATGGAAATCAGCGAAACTTTATTAAGAGATGCGTGTACCCTTCACCCCCAATTGACCAACTCAAAATCATCGGATGAAAGCACATAGGGAATCGTCCTACCATACATGACTATGCAAACCTTATGGAATAGCTATCGACCAAAAGACTCCATGGTAAAGAAAAAGAAACGAAACCAGCGTCATCTACAAAACTAACTGCATCGGAGGCAATCGGCAGGAAGCCTGGAATCTCAGTTTCGTGACTGTGAATACTCGTCAGGAATTCGTGTCTCTTCTGAGAATCGAACCCGTGTCACCTAGCGCTGCAGTTACAGATGCATGACATTATTTACTACGTAGTCTCCAATGTAAATAAAACATTTTGTTGGTTAAAGCGGCTGATCTTATCTTTCTTAACATCCACGATCATAAATAAACTGTCAAAAGGCGTGATGTGAGTCGGTGGCCAAGCGGTTAGCATGCTAGTCGACCACGCACATGGTCCGGGGTTCGACCCGCGGCCGACGCAAAACTTCGGCTACCGATATCATATGCTGAAAATTCCGTACTTGAATCGAAAATACTGTGTGGAGTAAAGCTATAATAAAATAAATAAATAAATATCCTACGTTTATGTATAATCATTGTAAAGATAAGCTACTATTTACTATATGCAGTAATATCAAAATAGAATGTATCATATATACCTAAGAATTTCAAAAACAACACCTCAATGTTTTGACGTTAAAACAATTTTACAGTATATACTTACGAATAATTCCAGTCAAATGATTGGACTAAGACATTTTTTTACCAGAAAAAAGCGACAACAACATTTTAACTTTATTTTAAGATTTTCTGCTTTATAGAAAAGAAAAAGTGTTCAGCAAAGAGTTACTCTTTTCGGCGATATCATTCTGCTTTATGCAATCGATAATTTACATATCTGGATAAACTCAAAGTTGCTTTTCTGTATTGCTTTGATTGAATGACGAAGATATTTGTTCAATAATAATATCTTTTTAAAGCCTGGAAATGAATGATTCATACCTCATATTTAATAGATTAGTTATGGGGTGTCAAAATAAATAGTCGTATTTGTGTGATAAACGTCGTGCTAGTTGGCTGATATCGATTACAAAATATTGTGAAATGCGAGACAATGGTCGTGATTAGTCATAATAGATTCGTAGAATGTGGGATAGGAAAAATTGACAAGTACAGATTAAGGTTATAAAAGGTGTCAGGTGATTGGCTAATTCAATATGGTATGTGTTAAAGAGGAGATAGTAAGACTGCAATGACAGGTTCATAATGAAATAACGAATGTGTGAAATGAAGCAAGTGAAGGCATATAATGAGAAAAGAGATATTGTCACTAATATCAAGTTCGAATGGTATAAATGGAAAATTCGATAGTATTGAGAGAATGTTTATGCATATAGGGTAAAAGTGTCAGACTGACTTTTAATTCATGGTATGGGGAATATTTCACACTTAAATCATATATGTATATCATTTGATTTATTAATTTCTTAGTTTTGCTGTGACTCTAAAGTATGGAAAATCTTGCATTTCGGACAAGTGAACTTCTATCCTAGTATCCGTCTAAATTACTTCTCATTGTCAAGGCAACTTTCCCCTGGCTGAACGAATAAAGTTCATTTGCCTGACCGATGGCTGCTAATTATTTTATTTTTTAAATTTTGATTACAGCTTGAGTCAACACCGTATTTTTGGTACTAGTATGGAATTTTCAGCGTGGATATCCGTAGCCCAAATTTCGCAGGCCGACCATAGATATCAGGTGTGCGTCGGCAGGGAATCGAACCTCGGACCATGTACATGGTCGGCGAGAGTCCTAACCACTGTGCCACCGGCGCATATCTCAATGACACGCTGAACTACGCTGGCTTGGAATAATGTTTCTTCATGTTTTACCATGTCAGAATTGTCGTGTAGACGCTAAAAGTCGTTTAAACTATGCTGGTTGTCTGAGGGCTAAAAGTCATGCTGCTGATTAATATAGAGATGTAAGAGCAGTAATATGTTTGTCTCGGACTACCAGCAAGCCAAATAGTTAAAGACTCTCTGTGAAATGGTTCGAAATTGTTCTCAATGGGACAGATACTTTCACTCTTTATGAACTCCTAGATCCACTAAATTCTCGATATCCTTCATTATTTACGTATTCTCTCTACTGTACATTACTGTTCACTGTCGATAGTTTGGTTATTTTTGGATTTTCTCATCTTTATGGTTATTTGAACTGCAGTGAAGTAGTAGAGCGTGTTGACTACTTATTTGGGAAGTTGCATCAGCCCCAATGGGTTGATCGCTGAGGAAATCAGCACTGATACAGAAGGCCCGTTCGTCATTCATCAACTTACGCCATTTCTGTCGCTGGCTGTCGACCAAAGGGTGTGTGTACTACTGTTCCGCAGTTTTCTCCATCACTGACACATGTGCTTGCTTTATTCCTTTGGGTGTTGAGCGGAACATAGGACTCCAGGCTTGAAGTTTCAGGAGCCACGGTGTTGTTTTTACCAAAATAGTGTTGCTAGCCGCACATTCAAGCTCCCTTCTCCGTCAGTCTTACTGGTGGCTAGTAAACTAGGTGAGGTTTAGTAGTGCGTTGGCCAAGAATCATACGCCGGAATGTATGCGTGGTTGGCGAGCATTCTGCCAGTGAACCACCGACGCGCCACACATAAATTAGTACTATACAGTCCGGAAAGTACTTTTCTAGATTTCATTCCTTAGATTTTTGTGTAGATACACTTCAGTAGTTCCCAAGTTTTACACATTTCAGTAGTCATTTTATTCGAGAAAATCACTTTCCAAATAAATTAATCATTAGAAGTAAGTATAATATTACTTTGTTGCAAATTTACCGCTATTTTGAACGATTGGATTATTTCTAGTGTTATTTTTAGCAGGAAATTGGTCGGAAGAAGTTAGGAGTGGTATTATAGCAATGGGAGACGAAAGACTTGGTAAAGGAATATTTATTTGGAAGTTGGTATCTCTATATAGCAAAATTATGTACACCTTTATCTTCAAATCATCATTGGCACAGATCTTCCGTGTTGTGATACTTCTGTCCTTATTGTGTTTCTGTGTGTGTTCCTTTCATGTTTAACATGTATTCCCACAAAGCTGTTTCATTTGATTTCTCTGACATCAAATGTATCTTCCTGCTCTTTGACGTTTTTCTGCTAATGAATGTCCCTTCATATACTACTATGATAAATCTTGTCAGTAGTACATGCCACAGTCTATCTAAGTGGAAGTTACCTATTCGGAGTTGTTGACGTATTAGGAATCATTGATTGGAACCTTACACTGACTTAACACAACAAAGTGGTTCAGATGTATTCACTGCTTTTCATCTTTGAACTGTTCGACTTATTTCCCTATGAAAATTCTCTTCCTTCACACCAATATTTTTTAAATATTTGTGTCATTTAATTTCTGTTTGATTTTTTTGTTTTAATGTATGAAAACCTGAACTGATAGTGCCCTTTTGTTCAAGATTTTATTCTGATATATTCGTGTCAGTCTGTGTGTGTGCAAACTCATAGGTAAATGAAACGTCGAAAGAACATCAGTGATATTATTTGGCTGGTGGTGATCAGCAGTGAAACTTAGGATGCGCACATGTTGTCCTATTCGGGAGTTGTCATCATCATCAAAGCATCTGTACTGGGTGCCGAATTGTCAACAGATGCTAAGCATTTCGCTTCAGTATAGTCAGTCAACGGGAAATACAAATTCAGTTAAACAAGTAATATCTATGACAAGTTGTAAAGAATTATTAGGGGAATTCTAAACGTTTTATATCATATCGACGGTGTTGCATAACTCCGTTAAGAAAAGAAACAAACGAATTCAAATTTTTACGTGAATAATTATGTTACTTTTTCTCAAGAAATCTCATTTCATTCTTCTTGTCCTCTTACCTCCCTCTATTTTAGATCACAACAGAGAATCTTCGTCTTCCAATTCCACCAAATTTAGACAATCGAATTCTACGCCTATTTGATTTATGCACTAAAGATGATCCTGGTAAACGTCCAAGATTTGATGTCCAGTTGATTCAACTATTAGATAAAATGCGTGAACGTGCTGGACAATAAATCTTTAAAACCCTTATTCAATACACAATAAATTGTGTGGTGTTTTCTGATGATTTACCCATTGACAGTGTTATCGTTCAATCTTGTTACTATTGCTTTCTTTTTTTTGGCATACAAAAGAGTTTCGCTTTACTTTTGTGTTATTTTGCACAAACAGCTTATTTATTTATTTATTAGCTTGAATTATATTTTATGAGTAATATGTATGTATATATATCATTATATACGAACATTTATAATGATGGGATATACACAGCTGTTGATTTTCTTTTTCAAACCTTATTATATAATACTTCATAACTTATCTTGAAGATGTACGCTGCTTAATATCTTTTAACCTAATATACACATGATAACAATCTTTATTGACAGGAGAAAATATTGATTTGATTTCACCTTTTATGCATCTGATTCGTTTTATTTATTTATTCATTTCTTACTTTTACTAGACACCAGATACACTGTCTCGTGGATATTCTAGTTTGAGAACAATGAGACACAAGAAATAATCGGCTTAAGCGATGCTTGCTTGCTCTGTCTGTCTGTCTCTCTCTCTTTCGATCTCTCGACGTCTCTCTCTCTCTATCATAATCTTGTATTTTATTATCTTATTTGTTCTCTTATTTCAGCGTTTATGGTTTTTTTTTAAATTAAATTTTATTTTCTCTGCTGTTTTTGCATTCTAGGCTATGATAATATTGTCCTTATTAGTATTCTTTTCTCTAGCATATACAGCTTGCTGTTTACAGCTCACATTAGTAATATTACTAATAATGATAGTGATAATAATGAGGTGATTCTCAGCATGCAGTGCTTTCATTCAATTGTGTATATCATTCACGTCTTGCATATTACTATTATGTGCTACGATTTATGTTTGTTTGTGTGATGCGTCTTATTATTATTATACATAGTAAATAATACAAACTGTGTAGGTTTATTACGCGCCTTTGTTTGTTTCCACATACACTGTGAATTAGTTATCAGAAGGGGTCATTTACACACTTTCATTATTGATCATATATATATATATATATACATATATATATATATATATATATATATATATATATATATATATATATATGTGCGTCGGTGGCACAGAGGTTAGGACGCTCGCCGACCATGCACATGGTCCGAGGTTCGATCCCCGGCCACCGACGCACTCATCTTTACCTCGATAGGCCAGAAATAATGCTGGTAAAGAGGAAAGGTTGGGCATGGGGCCAGCAACCCCATCCTGTATAAACTAAACATTGCTACAGAAACTTCAAGCCACAAGCTTGAATCCCTATGTTCCACTGGGAACGTGAAGGATATATATATATGTATATAATTTTTATTTTTGATTACAGCTTGGTGCCACGCCGTATATTTTGGTACAAGTATGGAATTTTCAGCATGAATATCGGTAGCCCAAATTTTGCAGGCCGACCATAGATATCAGGTGTGCGTCGGCAGGGAATCGAACCTCGGACCATGTGCATGGTCGGCGAGAGTCCTAACCACTGTGCCACCGACGCACACATCACCTCATCAGTTTTACATTCTATTATCTGTAGGGTGGATATTATTGGAAGATGTGGAGATATTATGTCACAAACCCTAAGTTTGACACTAAAAGGCATAAAACAGATACGTCTCCCTGCACCAGAGGTGTCAGGTAAATGACTTAAAGAAGTCATCATCTTGATGATTTCATAATTGTGACTGAGAGGGTGCAACAGTTGTTAATCTTTCCCGTCAGATGATTAACAAGTCAACTATATCTTTTTTGACTCTGAAATTACAAAGGCTCTGCTCCTTAAATATATATCTTGACTTACTTTGTGGTGGTCTGCAATAGATGTTAAGGTTCTTTACATGGACGAAACAAATAGGAACCTTTGGAGTACTGTCGTTACGCACTAAGAGGAAATAAAGTTTCATCATATAGATAGCCGGAACGTTTGACTTCCAAGTTTCTATCAGCATTCAACGTTCATATGTTCAGTTATCTGAATAACCTTTCCTTTCCTCCAAACAGTAGTGCTGTATGAGACATTTTCTGTAAGTGACGATTACTAACTATTCAAGCCAATGAAACCATTATTCTTTGCCTCTTGCAGTCAGTTATTTGGTAGTTTGAGCTTATAATGCCCGAAATCTGTAAAACGTTGGACAACGAGCTTTATTAGCCTATTCTGTAAGCTGTATGTGTGAAGCGATATTGTATCGCGGAAACATATTTACAAAACGCAAGCATGTCTGTCCACTTGACTCATATATATGTATATATATATGAATTTGAACAATAATACAGATGTGGCCAGCTAAAAGTACACTCAGTAATTTCATTGTATTTTGTGTGATTCCATTATTGCCTAGTATGCGTTGCACAAGCAGGAAGGGCGCGTCTAAAAGTAGAACACAGTCGTATTTGATAGCGGAATTATTATTTTTGTTGGCAGAATACAGAAAGCCTACACTAGAATCTCTATTTGAATATGTTCGCATTGCGCTTCCTCTTGTGTTTTCTATGTTACCTCAAAAGGATCGTGCATTTCTGGTGTATTCATCATTACACTTATCTTCCTGTCATTCAAAATTCTTGGAGTAGGCATCACTTACAATCAATGTACTATTCATGGAATTTTGTCAGCAGCAGCTGATGCTGCTACACATGGATTTACAAGATTCAGAATCTTTATAACTAGTTGCTGAGCAATGACTTATTTTTGGTGTACATCACCTTCCCCTCCTAATGATAAGCATTTCTGTGTTGTTAGTAGGAAATTTGAGAATTTTGCCCTTTTTAATATGTTGTCGGTAATAAAACAAGCAAATCTGTATTTCAATGCTCGGATTTGTGATCTCAAATGCTAAGTAGTGACAACGGGATAGGGAACATCAAATACGTGTTATAGAAAGTAGGATGATTAAGATTTGGAAATTTAATACTGTTGGCTATAGCTAAGTTTGAGTCTGAAAGTCACTCACTCACAGTGAAATAAGGTTTTTTATTCCTAACTTTGTTCAGCTTCAGTTTTCAGTATAAGATAACATTTGAGCGTCTTCAATTTTAACTAGAATTCAACAAAATCTCGAGCTACTGAATCACCTAGTCTATATATATACGTCGTTGTACACTCAATGCACTAGTCTACAGTCAAACTCAATATTCCGGTCTTCTTTTTAAGGAGAAAGGCATTAATTTATGTGTAGGCGAAGCAGTTAACCTGAGTGCCGAATATTTCGCATCATCATTTGTAACTAGGCTATGGGATTGTACTTATGATATTTTAAAGTTACACCCTGGTCATTTATAAGTTTATCTTTCCTGTGGTTTGAAATTTCTTCAGCAACTTGATTGATTTTCCAAGGTAGGATTGCTGCCAGTCTCACGCCCAATCTTGCCTCTATTCTCAGGATTAAGACCAACTCGTAAGCTGGGCGATGTCAAATCGTTTGCCAAACCCTTGTATGGAACCTAAATGAGAAACGACGAGTTGGGTGTCCGTGGGTGGTGTGGAGACCGTGTGGCAATCATGGAGCCACCGAAAAAAAATTACAAAGAAGAAAGTGAAGTAGTGGTGATCTGATGTTGAAGCTCTATGTTCTACTAAGAACCCAAATGTACTAACGCCTATAAGTTTTCAGGGAATCAGTTATATCTTAAGTGCAGACTTATAGTCCTGTTTACCTTAAAACGTAACCTACTTTCAAATCATGTAAAACTGAGCATGACTCCGAGTTTAAATCACTCAGTTATTTTCTTTTATTGAAAGAGTACATTTTGTAACCTGTAAGCTATGATATTGACCAGTATTCTCTATGCAATCTATAGTGAAACCTCACGTTTATGCGATATATGTGTAAAACATGGGCACTGTGGTAGTAAGTAATTCCATATTAGTTTGTTTATTAGATGTATCACACAGTGAAACAGTATTACATACTGGATGACGTTTCGAACACAATTTATTGTTCATAATCATATCAATTGTAATCACACAACTTTGACACTTGAGTTTTATAGTTTTCTTTATCTTCTCCTATTTGTCATAATGGTAGTAGAATTTTCCATATACCTGGGACAGGTGTTGAATCATGTCTATTACATGTGTGCGCAGTTGATTCGATAAATAAAGCTTCTGTTATCAATCTCTCCCTATACCCTGTGACATTAGATTTTAAAACTGTCATCCTATTGTATGGTTGTGTGTGACTGCATGTAGTGCTATAGCTGAACTATTCTCTAGATTACTTATCTTATTTGGGTCAACCAATCCAGATTTAGCTAGGTTTTATGTTCGGCTAGTCTGACTGCCCCTGTTCTACTAGTTTGACCTATGTATTTGACCTCACAATCATTCAAGCAGGGTATTAGATAAACTAAATTGTTTTGTTTTAAAGGCTCCACAGGATCCTTTAACCGACAAAGCTCGTTTCTAATTGAGTTTGTGGGTTTGAATGCTACTTTTATTCCTGCCTTGTTAAGAATTCTGAGTAAGGCTTCCGAGGTTCCTTCCTTGTATGGAATTACTGTTGATGATTTAGATTCCTTATTGTTGGTGTCGTCATTAATATTATTATTATTATCACTATCGCTATTATTATTATTTTATTTTTATATTTACTTACATATTTCTTGACTAATTTATCCGGGTAATTATTAAGTTTCAAGGCTTCCTTTATGTGTCTCACTTCCTGTCTTAGATTGATATGATTATGAACAATAAATTGTGTTCGAAACGTCATCCAGTATATAATACTGTTTCACTGTGTGATACATCTAATAAACAGATTAATATGGAATTACTTACTACCACAGTGCCCAAATTTTACACATATATTAACATGACTTATGGTATTCCTGTACGAAGACTTATGAATAAACTTACTCGACTTTCACAAACTGAAGCAATACATGAAAATCATCGTATTTTTACATTCGATGCTTAAAAAATGAAATCACTCCTAAATATCTACGTCTACGAGCTCCAGTTCCAACGGACAGA